AAATATATATATATATATATATATATATATATATATATATATATATTTGTAACTTGTACATCTAAATTAATTGTTGGAACTTCTAATGTTGCACCAACTTTTGACTCTACCAAGAGTTCTTGATATTTTACTTTAAAAATGTCGTAAAGTACTACTAAACTAGACTACTTGGTGATTATTAATAGAATTGTTAATATTCTAACAATGGTTTAAAATTATAAAACATATTATAAATTTCCCAACATTATCTCCCTCTCTCTCTCTCTCTCTCTCTCTCTCTCTATATATATATATATATATATATATATAGGTCGCGAGCAAAATATATCCTATGGTATGCATATAGAGTGTATAACTATATGTTCTGATAAATTTCTAACATTCAATGTTTGAGCAAAGAAGGACTTGAATGCTGAAAAGACTAAAGTGTACCGCTATAATTGAATAAAAAAAGGATTAAAAAATAATTAAATGTGAAATGACTAAAGTGTCCCTCCCTTTTTTTCCCTTCTTATATATAAGGGCATTATTGGAAGAGAAAATAATATTTTTGGAATTTATGTATTAAAAATGTATTTTTGAAATGAAATAGTGACCTCAAGTCATTTTTTGATAATTTTTTCCAAATTTAACACACTTATATACCCAAAAAATGTTAGGAGTGATATTTGCCCAAAATTTAAACATTAATGTTGCGTTTGGTGTGCAGGAATGGAATGAAATGCAAGTGGGAATGGAATGAGATATTTGATTGTAAATATGAAATATGTAGGAATGGAATGAAAATAATCATTCTAGTGTTTGGTTGGACCAATTTAAAATTTAAAATGGAAAAAAAATTAAATTGAATTTTCCAAAATATCATTCTTAGTAACAAATAAATTAAATTAATAAAATGACATTCTCTAATAATTTTTTAAAAATAAATGGTGGTAGTGGTGGTGGTGGAAAGTGGTAGTGCTATAGGTGGTGGTGTTGGAAGGCGGCGGCGGCGGCGGCAATGGTGGAAGGCGATGGTTGTGGTGGTGGCGGCAGTGGTGGTGGCGGAAGGCGGTAGTGGTGTTGGTGGAAGGCGGTGGCAGTAGTGTGGTGGAAGGAGATAATGGTGTAGGTGGTGGTGATGGAAGCCAATGGAGGTGACAATGGTGGTGTTGGAAGGCAGTAGAAGTGGCGATGGTAGAAGCCAATGCAGGTGACTATGGTGGTGGTGGAAGACAGTGGAGGTAGCGATGGTGGAAGGTGGTTGTGGTGGTAACGATGGTGGTGGTGGTGGTGGTTGTGGAAGGCGGTGGCTGTGGCTGTGGCTGTGGCTATGGAAGTGGTGGCAGATGTGGAAGGCGGCAGTAGTGGAAGGTAATGACGGTGGTGGAAAGCGGCGGCGGCTGTGGCGGCAACGACGATGGTGGTGTAGAGCGGTGGCGGTGGCGGTGGTGAAAGGTGGTGGCAGTGACAAAGGCGGTGGCAGTGGTAGTGGTGGAAGGTGGTGGCAGTGGTGAAAGGCGATGGCGGCGGTGGTGATGGAAGGTGGTGGTGGTGGTGAAAGACAATAGCAATGGTGGTGGTGGAAGGTGGTGGCGGTAGCAGTGGTGAAAGGCGGTTGTGGTAAAGAGTGGCGATTGCGGTGGTGGAAGGTGGTGGCGGTGAAAGACGGAGGTGGTTGTGGTGGAAGGTAGTGGTGGTTTTTGGACTTGGAACATAAGGGCTTTTTGGGAAGTTGATTTTTTAAAAAAATTTACTTAGGAATGGAATAGTCATTTCATAGGTTTACTAGCTGTGAAATGGATTTTCATTCCGATCGAATGGTTATTCCTACTTTGAATTGCTTATCAAACAAATGAATGGTTGGAATGGGCATTCCATTTCATTCATACACACCAAACATAATATAAAGATATTTTTCTCACTCTACCATACATACATACATACATACATACATATATATTTAAACACGAATTAAATCTTAACCGTTGGATATGAAAAAATAAAATGCATTTAACTGTTCAATGAAATCTAATGGTTAATACTTAAGGTATGCATACATTTTTTTGCAAATTAAAAAACAAGTGGACAATTATATATATATATATATATATATATATATATATATATATATATATGAACTCTTTTTGTTAAACCCCCAACTTTCTCTCTCACACACATTATTGCTGCAACAATGACTTGAACCATCTACTTTTATGGGAAGGATGACAAAATGCCATTTGAGATAAAGCACTTGACAGTGAATTTGATACTTCACTCAAAGCATACGAGAGAGTGTTTTATGTACCAAAAAAAGAAAATGCAAATTTGTTCATGTATCTACTTGTATTTTTCTCCACTAAAAGAAGGTTTTGTGTTCATTAATATTATTAAAAAGAACAAAGAATCGTTTAGATTTACAAAATTCCTTAATTATTTTAATAAGTCAAATACTCTAGTAAGGGATGCCTATAGACAACGGTATGACCATCCTTTTTTAAAAAAAATACCGTAACACTTCTAACAACATTAGGTCGGACAGAGAATCTTCAAAATTCGAATATATTCAATTCAAAAATCAAAATGTTGTCTCAATCCCATCTTTGTCTTTAAAATCTTAAAGCACGATTATGCTGCAATTGTTTTGCCCCTAATAATTATACTATATGATACTCAACTTGCTGTCAATCACTTGGACGACAAAGTGACCCATATATACATATATATATATATATATATATGCGAGGATAAGTAGTCTCGGCTTTAAATTTTTAACAAATTACCCTGATCTTTTTGAGCTTTGAACAACTTACACACGTATACATCATTCAATTTTTATTACTTTGATTTTTTTAAGATTCGGCACGTATGTTCAACAACACTATTTAATAATTTCATTACATTACATCCTTTAACAATTTCATTTTGACAGACTTATTGATCAAATTCAAAATCACTTTTTGGCCACTGACAAACATGTTTAGGTGATATCAAAATAACAAACGTTGAACGGTTTTTCGTGTGTAATTTGTTCAAACCTCAAGAGAAATTAGTGATATTTATATTTTAAAAAAAAAATAGATTACCTACAAAAGAAATTCAATATAAAAATTTGAAGGTTCAATTTTTTGAGTTGTTAATAATGAGAAAAGGTAAATAAATAAAAAATTAACTTACACAAGAAAAGGATTTAAAGATGTAAATATAGGACGAAAAACAAGTTTTTATTTTACTATATATATATATATATATATATATATATATATGTATGTACGATAATACAAGAAGATATACATACAATGAATTGAATGGGGCCATATGTACATATAAAAGATGTTAAAAAGCTTTAAATGCCTTTAACAGTGTCTATAAGCATTGGTAAGCGTTACCTTTACCTTTGGTGCCCCAATTTTTTGAGTCACACAACTCACAACCCCCCATCTTTGTCTCTGTCTCTCTTTCTGGATTAAAAACTTTGGGTCCCCACCTCCCCTCTATTTAACGGACGGTGAAATACCCAACCAACACCTTTTATGACTGATCAAAGTCCATTAGGGTTTTGAAATGGGATGGGTTTTCAGTCCATTTGATCTGCCCAACTTGAGACCAAACCCGTTTTCAGATCCGACTGTTTTTGGGTAACCATTGACCCGTTATCCTTTTTTCGGTTGTACAAAACTAACAAAATATTGTTATCACTTGAAACTTAATAGTACTTTCTGGTCTTTCAAAAAGAGAAGAATCATTTAACTCTTGACCAATGACGATTTGGGGTTATACTAAGAATTGACCATAAAATTCAAATCCGGATAAAGAGTGAATAAGTAGATATGTTATTTATCAAATGTGTACTTAAATATATATATAAATAATAATAACGGTTTGGATTAGCCTATTTAGATTAGAGTTTATAAGCTGAATTGATCCCTGAAATCTAGGATTGAACTAATACTTCCACGTAATCGAATCGGATCGCAAAGATCAAATTGAGTCGGACTGTATCAACAGATTGGCACTTCAAATGTGCACCCTACATGTTCTTTATAAGAATATATAAACCTATGTGAGAAAGAATAAACAAACATATGAAAATTATTTTAATAGTGACCAAGGTTGAAAAAATTAAATGTTCATTTGAAAAAAAAAAAAAAAAATTATAATGAAATGATAATGCAGGTCTCCTTACACGTGAGGAACCTCTTCCTTAATTACAGTTAATGTGTCATGATATAAACTGGATTAAAAACTTTTTGATTAAAAAGTAAAACAGAATTAACTATTTTTTTGCCCTTTTTGATTTATTTGTCAATATTAGGGCACCCTTTTGACCTTCGGGCACCATGCTATTTAATAACATTCTTATCCCTACTTGATAAAAAGACATTCTTGTCCTTACAGAATGTAGAAAGGATAACTGTGACTTTCTCAATGCTAAACTTTCAGAGTACCTTTTAGTGTCCATATCTCTCAAAGGAGAGAAAATGAAAATTAAAAGAGAAAATGAAAAGTAAGTTTAAAGTTACCCATAGAAGAATAACTGTCCCAATTGCTAAAATTAAGGTTTTCATATGATCAGTAGTGGAATAATATTATAATTGGGTAATTATGAGAAATCCCATGATGTGGAATTTTTGTCTAATACACATATGTAATGTATATAGAAGTATATAGAATTTAGGGTTCGGGGAAAGGGCACCAACCACATGTTTTGAGTTTAATGAAGAACAATGGTTAGAAAGGTAAGTGTATGAGTTGTTGAGAGACAAATGCACACGTTAAAAGCTTACAATAAAATTTCCTTTTTCTTCCCTCAAAGAAATCAAGGGAAAAGGAAAGAGTAAAAGGGAATCAAAGTCCCAAACTCATAAACTTTTTCCTTCCCTCTCTATCTTTCTTTCTTTTTTTTCTTTTTTTTCACTTTCTCTCTCCTTACCCCCACGTCCACAAAAGAAAATACCCCCTTCCTTTCTCTCTCTCTCTCTCTCTCTCACTCACTCATATAGCCCCTCAAGAGTCATTTTCTCACATATAGTTCACACAAAAGAAACAACCATTCACTTCATACCTTGTCATTACTTCTCTCTCTCTCTTTCTCTTTCTCTCTCTTTCTGTTTCTCTCTCCTCTCAATCTCTAATCTCTCTGCAACTACTCCCCTCAATTCATCATCAAATCCCATTTGGACAGAAACCCAGAAATCCCTCACATCAAAATCCAAAACCCAGATCATCATCCTTTATAAAGCCTACTACTTCTACTATTCAACCACACAAGTACAATAATACCTAGAACAAGCTGCAGAAAGAAGAGTGTGTTTGTGTGTGTGTTGTGTGTGTGTGAGAGAGAGAGAGAGAGATAGAGGGCTTGTTTGGTTGTGGAAGATGGAGCTGTTCCCAGCACAACCGGACCTATCTCTACAAATCAGCCCTCCAAACACCAAACCCACATCAGTTTGGAGGAGGACAGAAGAAGAAATGGATCATTTGGGGTTCTGGAAGAGAGCTTTGGACTCCAGAAACTCCTCCATCTCTTCAATGTCCAAATCTGATCATTTCTTCGACCTCTCGCTCTCGAATCCGAGAGCCTCCGAGCCCAGCTCCAACCCTCTCCACCTCCTCGGCGCCACCAACAATTTAATCCATTCCATCCATCAGAACCACCAGTACCAAAATCACCAACAACAACTCCATACCCAACTCTTTCAACATCAACAACATCAACATCAAGGAGGACTCAACTCAGAGCAGCTCAATTTCTTGAGACCCATTAGGGGAATCCCAGTGTACCAAAACCCTCCTACTGGTCCTTTCCCATTCAGTACTCAACAGCCTATAGATACACCATCTGTATCGTCTTCAGCTACTGCGACTACCACCGCCCCCACTAATAACTCTGCAAGTCCCTTCCACTCTCAAGGCCTAATGCGATCGAGGTTTTTCTCGCGGTTTCCGGCTAAACGGAGCATGAGAGCGCCCAGGATGCGTTGGACTACAACGCTCCATGCTCGCTTTGTTCACGCTGTTGAGCTCTTGGGTGGCCATGAAAGTATGCTAGCTTCGTTTTGTTCTTGTTTTTTAAATTTCCCTTTTTATCCATATATATATATATATATATATATATATGTATATGTATATATTATGTTAATAATTAGCATTTTTTTCAACCAAAAATATACAAAAACAAAATTTTCTCACTTACCCATCTCTTTTTATGTTGTTTTTGTGGTGTAGGAGCTACACCCAAGTCAGTTCTTGAGCTCATGGATGTGAAAGATCTCACCTTGGCCCATGTTAAGTCTCATTTACAGGTAAATGACTATATATATATGTGTGTGATTTTTTTATAATCTCAGATGGGTTTCTTCCCAATAGAGGTTTTTCTCTAAACAGATCAAAGAAATCTTCAAATTAATTAATGACATGATTTTCATTATTTTTTTACTGTGTGTACACTTTGAAGTTATAGTCCTTGATGCAGTTCAAAACATTGGTTTTGCAAGCTTAACAAACATTTTTTGTAGAGCCTACACTACATTACAGGAAGGTGTTAATTCATACTTTATTCAAATAGTCAAATTCCAATGTTTCTCTGCAGAGAGGTCTCTCTCTCAAATCCTAAGCACTTCTTTTTCTACTAGATCTGATGGTTCTGCCAAGCTATTATGCAGCTTTTTGCTTGGAAGATTGAACCATCCATCTAAAAGAAAAGACCAATAACAGTATATTTATATATATACACACACATATATCTATAGAGAGAGAGAGTTAGAAAGAGAAATTCATCCATCTCCTAAAACAGATAAGACAAAGCAAAAGGAATTCAAAAAACAGTCATAGCCAAGCCGAGACAAGTTTACACTGAGTCCATAATTTTATAATAACACACACATTTTCTTCTTCTTTTACAGAGGATAAGTCGTAATTAACAAGAAAGTACAAAACACTATCATTTCTCAATGATATCTACATGTCTCTTGGTTGTTTAACCACATCTTAATATATATATATATATATATATATATATATGCACATACATGTATATAAGCACAATTACACAAAATGTTTTTCATCATTTATATATGTACTTGCACTGTATATCACACATAGCATCTATTTTTGTTTTTAAGATGTAATACTTTGATTTTTATTTTCTTATTTCAGAAATTCAAAAGTAAGTGTAATATGCAAGTATAATGTACATTTGTACTAACCTAAATATGATTTGTGTCCCTCATTGCAGATGTATCGAACGGTGAAGACCACGGATAGAGCAGCCGCTTCTTCGGGTTAAACCTCATATTCTTTTATGTTTAATATGTGATATTTCTTTTGAATATCAATTGAAAGCTTTCAAATACATTATTATATTTTATATTAATATTGAACTTTTTTATAAAAAAAAATTGGTTAGGACAATCAGAAGTATTGGATAATGGGTCATCTGGAGACACTTCTGAGGATCTAATGTTTGATCTTCAGAACCCAAGAAGGTCTGAGCTATCGTCGGTTCAACAAGGAAGAGCAAATGTGCATCAAGACAAGGATTATCATGGCCTTTGGAGCAACTCTTCAAGGTAAATTAATAAAACTCTCAACCACTTAGCATATTATTGTGTTTTTGTCCTTATATAATAAAGCCCATTAGTTACATTTTCTTATCTCAAATTAAAAACCCATTAATTACTTCACGTGAATTCCTTCCTACTTGATTCGTTTGTTTCCTAAGAAAATCAAGGAAAAGAAAATAAGTTTTGGCACCACAAAGACTACCATTCCAAGGCCCGTAAATGGTATAGTTCAAAGTTTAATCTCTTTATATTATTCTACTTTACAATCAAATATTTTTATTATGTGTTTTATCTTACTTTTTCATTGTTTTAATTAGATATAAAAATGCTCAAGTGAAAGAGCTTTATTAAGCAATCAAGGCAAGACCTAAAGTATAGCTTTTTTAGTGTGAATTTTTCATCTATGTATTTCATTCTAGTTGCTAGTTGTGAACTTTTTCTCTTTGAGATGTTGTTTTTCTACGCACACAAAACATACACTCACTTAACATTTAAGTAAGTATCATTAGTTATGGCTTTAAAATCCTATTAACAATAAGTTTTAATATATATATATATCTTTCTTTGATCAAGTACATATATATGTATATGCACATGCACATGCATATACAAACACACACACACACACACACATATATATATATATTTATACATGCAAGAGATCACAAAAAGAAGAAATGATATCACTTGCTTTGTTCTGTCTGTCAACGACAAGTTTAACACTAAAACTGCTTGATGCAGTAATAATCTCTTTCCAAGTGGGATGAAAAAGGAAGAAGTAGTAGTAGTAGTAAAAGAAAGCATTCATTTCCCAAATCAACCTAAATGGTGTAGATATCTCTTTCCTTTGGATTTTGTGGGCTCATATAAGGCTCTATTTGAATGGGACCCACATGAAAACTTAGTGTCAAAGCTAAGCCCTCCTGCACCAATTTAAGTTTAAGCTGAGACCTTTGAAAACCTTCCTTGTAGTCTAGTATTTGTTGGGGGTATAATGGGGCAATCACATGGGTGGGTTCAGCTTTATTTGAATCAGCACTAATTATGCATGTAAAGTGAGAGGATGTAAAAAAAAAAAAAAAAAAATTCTACCTTTCTTTTCTCATTCTCATCAGTTTGCTTTCTTTTCCCTTTGTTTTTTCCTTTCCCTTTTGCATGGCTTTCTCTGATGGAAAATTATTCTCCCAATGCAATGTTTTTGTAGCAGGGAAGCTTGGTTGCATGGAAAACCAAGGGATTCTGAAGGACACATAACATCTCTTGAGGTACCCATCTCAAAGCTGAATTTACCAAACTACCCTTCACTTTACAAATTCTATGTGTGTGTGTGTGTGTGTGTGTGCATAGATGGGAATATGTAGATGTCCTTTACCAAATATCATTCTGTCATGTAAAGTAGAAAGAGGGGGAAAAAAAAGACAGTCTTTTTAAAAGCTGGGCTAGTCCTTGAACAAATTCAATTTTTTGTTTATAAAGAACTTCCTCAAGAAATTAATTGTTCTTAAAAATTTGAACAGTTTCTAGTCAATGGATGCAATACACCCCTAAAGTGCACTATCATCGGATAAACACATTCTTAATACCTCGTACCAGAGGTTGACTAATCAAATGCATTTGTGAGTCATGATGGGTGGTGCATGTAGATTATGAAAGTAGTAAAGGTAAATATCTGAAATAATGTTGATAGATCATGAATTCATGATATATGTATGTGCGTGTGTGTGTGTGTGTGCGTGTGTGTGTGTAGTATGTGATGAGTTGTTATAAATATTAGGGAATAATATTAGCAGATTGCACATGAGACACACTGTAATGGGCTATACAATGTACCCTAGTATTCTTTGGTAAATATTCCCTTATTCTCTGAGTTAAATGTCCTTTGATTCTCACGTTCAACACACTTTTCTTGTGTGGCTGCTCTCATAAATTTATATTGCCTTTAATTATTTTTTATTTAATTTAATTTTTTTTTCTTTTGTTGGTTTTCTTCAGAAGGACATGGAACCTAAAAGCTTAAGCTATGAGAGAGTGTTATCAGATGTGAGCTCACCAAATCTCTCAGGGACAAGCCACAAGAAGCCCAATTTGGAGTTCACCTTGGGGAGGCCACAGTGATTGATATATGTATATATATACTTATATATATATATATATCAACTGCCATGGGAGTACTACTCATTTTGAAATCATTATAACTCTGAAGGGGGAGCTGGTGAAGAGAATCGGGTACCACAGTGGAAATTAGAGGGAAAAGAAAGAAAAAGAAAAGAAAAGAGAAAAAGAAAAGGAAAAGAGAGCTAAAGAAGGACAAGGAGACAAGAAAGACAGAAAGCAAGAAAAGGAGAAGGGTGGAAAAAAGCATTTCCTTCCATCAAGCTGTGAGATCCAAATCAACATATTTTATTCCTACGTAGATATGAAATCTAATTGATTTTGTATGTTCTGCACTTAGTTAGAGAGGGGCGGAGAGAGAGAGCTCTTTAATTATCTTAAATTATGAAGTGATCCTTGGTAATTGTAATGGGGGCACTTTACATTTAACAAAAGAATATATATATATTAAATTCTATCCAATGAGTTGGATGCAAGGAGGTCTCCCCTATTCATTCCTAGGCACTGTCACATGCTTTACACTTTCCCAACAAAGGCAAAAAAAAAAAAAAAAAAAAAAAAAAAAAAAAAAAAAAAAATTAGATAGGAAAGAAAGTAAAATCATGAAGTTTGAAAAATTGGAAAACTACCAAAAGGACAAAAACGACAAAATGAAAAGCAGGAAGGAACATCAATAACACGTCGTCTTTTTATGCTCATCAAGCATCTCCAATCCAAAATATATATTATTTATGTCGAAATTATATTTTGAGATAAATTATAAGATCAAAATATTATATTTTAACAATTATGTTTCAATAGTGTACTTTATTCAAAATATTATTTAGAGTGTATTATTTTTATTCATCTGCTATATTTTGAGAAACGACGTATGAAAAAAAAAAAAGACATCTTAAAAAATTTTGAAAGCTGCTATACATGGCAATATTTTTGACAATCTCAAAATATGAGAGATTTTTTAAGAGCTTATTAGAATGTATTATTTTCATCCATCTACTATGTTTTGACTTTGAGAGGCCTTTTGAGATGGCATTGGAGATGCTCTCATTAAGTAATTTTAATTATTTATGGAAAGATTTTCTTTTGGAAGGTAATCTCTCTTTTTTTTTTTTTCATCATTATTCTTCTTCTTTGTCCTTATGAGAAGTTGAACCCTCAACTTTTTATTTGGAAGTACCACTTGGCTACAACCTTTGACTTTTTTAAAGTTAAAATAAACAGACTCATTATACATGCAATATGTTATCCACAATATGTCTTCAGTGACACTCAGACTCTCAAACTCTCATTTAGTTATTGTTGAAAAATATATGCTTTATATGACATCTAAGATATAACTTAACTTATACTAATATGCTATGAGATAATTAATAATATACTAAAAATAATTAATTAAATATGCAACTCGTTTTTTATTAAACATTCAAATTGAAGCAATAAAATAATAATGATAAATAAATAACCTGAACCGAGGCTAGTATTGTACACTATGTTCTTAAGATAATTTACACCCTGCATGGTGTTGACCGACTCCGTGACGCTTGTCTCCCAGGATACAACGGTCTATATCTACCAGTAGTAGCACTACAAACTCGTGGATACGGAGAACCTCTTTTGTGTAATACTCTATTGGACTCAAAAAATGCATCTATATTATATAAATGCTTAATTGGGTGCAATCCGAACCAAATGGTTCGGACCAATCTTAACATGGCTCGATGAAATTAACCCACTTGGGTTGAGTTCAAGTCTAGAGAGGGATAGAGAAGAAAATGAATTGAACTAATTGCAAATGGCAGCTCAAGGGGATATTTATAGAAATAAAAGTGCCTTTTCGGATTGAATGTGTCTCTTCATCATTGGACACAACCATTCATATGTGTTTCTTTATTACTGGACACAACCATTTATATGTATCTCTTCACAGTAGATACAACTATTTATATGTGTCTATTCATTACTGAACATAACCATTTATATGTGTCTTTTTATCACTGGACACGCCCACTGCAATAGGCTGCAATGGTTCACATTGAATAGGTTATGTTGTTGGTTTTGAGTTGCATCTTTTCATCTCACGACCAACTAGTGATCACACATGTTCGGTCAAAGACATCTGTTGATAACTAATGAAACAATTTTTATTCAAAAATTTTAACAATTAACTTGCGTAGGCTAAAGGCCATTTGGTTAACCTTGCGTAGGTTCTCCATGGAAGTTATCAAGGTTTACATTGTGTTATGAAAAAAATAATTTTGTTAGAGTGATCATGCAAATTTTACATTCATCCTATAATGTTACACCCTTCTATGAACTGTTGAAAATCACCGAGGTCGTGACATATGAGAGTCAATTAGGTACACATCCAACTACGAATGTCTCTTATTTTCCTAGACCTAAATGATATGAAATATTTGACTGGTTAGAAAGTCCAAGAGACACAAGAGTTTAAGAGGTGGGATAGACTACAAGTGGTAGAGATAGTGACAACTAGCTTTCACCGATGACTATCCTATTTCATGATGTAGAAGTCAAGGAACAAGTTCCCCAAGTGGATACTACTACCAACACCCTTCTATAAAAAGAAGGTTCGGTCCACCTATTAAGGTATGTCAAAAATTAAATACAAAGGCCGGTTATTGTTATGCAATCATCAAGTACTAATTTGATCGTTATAATGCATCAGGTTGGCACCACGCTAGTCTTCACATCTCTTGTCTTGTAGGAAATGGCCCCGGTTTCAGATTATGCAGGTTGTCTGTGGAAAATGTATACTAATTCCTTAAGAAATTATAATTCAGAAGCAATTCGGTCTGAATGCCGAGGGAAGCCAGTCGATGCAAGTCCCTGATCAAGAGAATTGTTTAAAACACAACATGGTGTCCAAACCGATCACAGTCGTAAAGTGCTACGACACCGAAACGTCAAGTCCCCCATTGTAATTGAACCTGTATGATAGTCTCCATATCAGGATCCCTCATTCATCATACTAGGGGGTAGAATAAGGTGAGTCACATGATAACAATCCACACGTGACTAAAATGCTCTAAATACTAGCAAATCAACCCCGCCCTTATTTTTGGTATTGGGTTTGTCGAATTGGGGCTTCATAGACCATGTAACTCTACTTCGGGAATGCCATTTATAATGTGTACAATTACTCTTCTTTTTTGAGTTAATACATCATTATCATACTTACTAAAAAAAATTGTATATAGAATATACAAATTCACAAGTCTGGTGTCTAGCTAAGTGTGTCACTTAAATATTATAGGTGTCATACATGTGCTGTCAATTGCGTGCCTAAAATTTAAGCAAGTTAAAACAATGACCTCCACTCTCTTTGGTCCAACAAAACCTAGAGGGGTAACCCTCGCATCTCAAAACCCTAGGAAGTTCTTCCAAGTGCACTAAAACCTTGAAGGGCAACCTTTGAGTCCGAGACATTCTTTCAAGTTCACCAAAACTTTGAGGAGTGACCCTTGAGTCCAAAATCCTCATACAATACCTTATGTCCACTAAGATAATTCCTTAGTCCAACACTCTAGAACATTTTCCCAAGTCATCAAAACCTTAAGAGGCAACCCGTAGAGTCCAAAACCATAGGGCACTCTTAGGTCCACTAAAATATTAATAAGCAACCGTTGAGTCCAAAATCCAAAAACACTCCTAGGTTCACCAAAACCTCAATGGGAAACCCTCGAGTTCAAACCCTGGAACATTTTTAAAGGTTCAAAAAAACCTCAAGGGAAACCCTCGAGTTCAAACCCTGGAACATTTTTAAAGGTTCAAAAAAACCTCAAGGGAAACCCTCGAGTTCAAACCCCTAAGACACTTTCCTAGGTCTGCTAAAACCTCAAGGGGCAACCCTTAAATCCAAAATCCTAGAACAGTCTTCTAGGTCCATTGAAATATCAAGGAGTTACCCTTGAGTCCAAAAACCCTTGGATACTTTCTCAGTTCCACCAAAACCCTGGAACACGTTTCTATCTCTACCAAAATCCTGGAACACGTTTCTAGCTCCACTAAGACCTTAAGGAAAACTAGAGTTCCCCTCAAGAAAAAAAAATTACAATTAAGGATTAAAAAAATAGGCATGAATGATTGCATCCTTCCAAATATCAATTGGGATACTTGGAAAGATCTTGGAATGGAGGATGAAAAGTCAGGGTTAGTACAGTCACTCAAGTACTACACGTAACCGAGGATCTTGGTTTCTATTTCTTCCTACTTTGATGGAAAGTGAAAATTAGGGTTACAATAGAAACAGGTCATCTCTCTGCCTTTATAAAGCGCATATATCCTATCAATTATGTACACTTATGAAGCAACACGTCCAAAATTTTATGTGTGCAAAAGGAGATAAACCAGTTTTTAAGCTTTGGCTATTGTCCGGAGTTGCAGTCTAGCACGTTATTCGTTCCGCAGAAGGCATCTCGACTTTTGGTTTGATATCTACGAGGTCTGCTATCATGGATTGAAATATTTATATTTGTTTATACATTATAGACATGTGAAAATAATGAAGTTCAATTTCTTGGGATTATGATTTACGTTTAATGTTTTCGCACAAATATTATAGCATATTTTACAGGTGGAACCAAGGGCGGAGGGAGGGGGGGCTGGCGGGGGCCATGGCCCCCCTTAATTTTTTGGAATTTTTTTTTTAGTATAGGTAAAAATAAAATAGTATAATATGGTATAAAATCTATACTTGGGCCCCCTAAGAAAAAAAAAAAAAAAAAAAAAAAAAAAAAAAAATCTTTCTTTAAGTAGCATTTAACAAAAGATAGTTTATATATAATCTAAAAGAAAGTGATTTAATTGACGAGTATAGAACCCGATAAAAATTTAATGTGGCTATTTTAAAATTTCAACTCAAATACCGTTCTTTCCATAATATGACTATCTTAAAATTCTTCCAACTCAAGTACGATTCTTTCCATAACTTTATTATTATAAAATTTCATCTCTTACATGATTCTTTCCATCACTTTTTTTTTCTTTTTATTTATTTTTATTGGAATGTTTTTATAAGAATTCTATAAGAAATTAATTTTTACAAAATTTAGAATAAAAATTTCATTTGAAGTTTTGAATATCAACAAAAATTGATGATTTAAGAATCTAAATTCTTATTTTATTAATTTGTTTGTGTTTTTTTATCATTGTTATTATTTTGTTAAATTTTCAATTTTTTACTTTTTTAAAAAAAATTATTTTTGTTTTTTTTTTTTCTTTTTGGTAAATAAAGAGAGTTATTTAATTGAATTTTTTTATAATTTTGGCATAAATCTTATTTGTGTTTGTTCAAAAAATTTGATAGAAAATTTCTTTAAATAACTAGTTTTTTTTTAAAAAAAATAAATTAGGAAAAGTTCAGATAGATATATTTTGGTATGAATATAATAAATAGTAAAATATTTTTGTCTATATAAATTTTTTTTCTTTTTCAAAAGTTCTAATTAGGTAATGT